CAGACAGAGGCTGCTTTGCAGCAGCCTCCCCAGTCCCCTCCACCCACCACACGCAGGATGGGGGAAGGTAGCTCCGTGAAGCTAGTGCAGGGTGGAGCCAACTTTTATGCCAGCTTCTCCCAATACCGACTCCTGCCTGCCCCCCGCTGTTTCCTCTATAGATGGGTCCATGGAGCCAGCACTTGTGGAGAGATGCTTAAAAGCTGGCTCCCCTCGTGTATCAGCTTCCACCTGCCCCCTCTTGCTCTCTGCGCTGCTGCCTGTCTATCAGAGCCGTGAAGCTAGTGCAGGGTGGAGCCAACTTTTATGCCAGCTTCTCCCAATACCGACTCCTGCCTGCCCCCCGCTGTTTCCTCTATAGATGGGTCCATGGAGCCAGCACTTGTGGAGAGATGCTTAAAAGCTGGCTCCCCTCGTGTATCAGCTTCCACCTGCCCCCTCTTGCTCTCTGCGCTGCTGCCTGTCTATCAGAGGCAGCAGCATGGAGGTAGGGAGACAGGCAGATCCAGTGTTTGTGGAGAGCCTGCTTAAAGCTTAAATTCAACCAAGCCATCCCTTCCTTATGATAGAGGAGGGTCCAGACCAAATCTGATTAGCATTAAGTCTCAGACTGATGGTTGTGTTAGTCTGTATCTGCAAAAACAATGAGGAGTCCTGTGGCACCTTAAAGACTGAGGGTACGTCTACACTTGCTTCCTATTTTGAACTAGGGATGCAACTGTAGCCAACTGAAATTGCTAATGAAGAGGGGATTTAAATATCCCATGCTTAATTAGCATAATCTCGCCCACGTGCTATTCCGCTCTCCAGCTGATTCAAACCAGAAAGTGTGCTCCAGGACATGTTAGTTCAAAAACCCCTTGGTTTGAAATAACGTTTGCTTTAGGAATCTACAACCCATATAGAAACTTCCTATGACTCTCTGTTTGCAAAACACTGAATTAAATTACAAGGAAAGGGTAAAAGAGCCAGTCTTGGTATATCTGAAAAAATTCCAAATTACTGTATATCTTTCCAAATTCTGAAAGGGATGAATAAACTTGACAGATACATTAATTTTCTAAGAATTGAGAAAATAGGGGACGTGAGCTAAAATTAGGGAAAGTATCTGGAATGTAGGAAAAACAAAAATGTTACAAACCTATAAAAATATAAAGACAGCTGGTATGATACAAAATCAGAAAGTTACAATGCATTGCAATTCAATTAAAATTTTCAATTATTAGATTCTTCCTATTGTTAATTATAAGAAGTTTGTGTTATAAATGGCTTCATGTAAACCCAGAGAGCTATATTATTTCCACAATTAAGTAAATAGCTATTGCAATGTTATACAACTGTGTGTGTGTGTGTGTAATATATATAATGTGCACTCACACACCCCCTTCAATCTAGGGACTTCCAAATACTCATGAATGAAATCTCACAACCTTGTATTTGGCTCTAGCCAAAAGTATTCCCCTAAAAGTATTACAGCACCATACTTCAAAAAATGGCTCTTAATAGCCATGAAAGTCTAAAATAAATATGTAAATATAAATGAGAAAATATACATATGCAAAACAAGAGAGTTATAGCTTTACTATACTTTTCATGGGCATGGCAAGAAATCAAGTTACCTAGACTTGAGATCAGAACAAACTTGTCTTAAATATAGTTGCTTTACTAGAAAAACATATGGGTCATTATAAGGAATAGAAATTTCAAGAAAGAGCTATTAATGGGATGAGGGGTATTCTAGTTTAAACTGAAAGAGCACTAACACCAGCAATGTATTTAAATGTATTCAAATGGCTTAAATACAGAATTAGTGTTTTCATTTCTTCCCTGGGTATTTGTGACACAGCATAAAATAAATTATTTTATGTAATTTATTAAGAAATTATAATTTTAATTACCTTATACTGAAAAACAGAAGGAACAGCTCCTTTCCTTAGTTTTCTTCTCATGCCATATGATTCAAAGTCCGCTTCTGCAAAATGCCTGGAACACAATATAGCACCGGGTCCTGGAATCCAAATCTTTTTGCTTTTGGGGTCTGCTCGATTAACAGCATGGATCCATTTTGTACGTTGTATGGCATCAACAGGAAATCTGAAACATAAGCAGAGCTCTCTTATAATATAGTCAGAGTAGGGATATAATAGTGTAGCCAATTAACCAATAAGCAAAAGCTATAGGTTAATGCTAAAGACTACACGCATTCCTTTACCCTTCACTTGCCAGTAAATTTTTTAACAGGCTGGCCAGCAATCCAGCTCAGTCCTGGCTTGCAACGGGTCCAGGACCAATCCCTGTGGTAGCTCTGTATTAGGAGCCAGGCGGGCGGGCAGGCAGGCAGCCCAGCTCAGTTCTGGCTTGCACCAGCTCCAGTAGCTCAGACCCACTCTAGACAGGGGCTCCTGCCTCGTTAGCAGATGTAACAGCACAGTCCAGGAGGGGAACTGGTTATTAAACTGGCTTCCCTCACAGACCAGCTCCCACCTGGCCCCCTGCACTGCTGCTGCTCATACAGAGGCAGCAGCATGGAGTGGCAGGGTGCTCCTTATTGCCAGAGCATACTGGCTGCCATTTCCATCCCCAGGGACTGTAGAATAGTTGACTAACCGATAAGAATTCTTGAGGTTATTCAACTATTCAATTGACCAATATTTAACATCCCTAAGTCAGAGTCAAATTCTAATCTTGGTTAAACTGCTGTACATCTTGTCATTCCATTTGAAGGCAATGGTATCATTCCAAATTGATAAAAGGTGTAAAAAAGCAGAAAAACTGTCCTTAGTACAGTAGACTACCGATAATCTGGCACCCTTGGGAGGTGCTGGATTATCGGATATGCTGGAGTATCGGGAGGTACTCTGGCGGGGTGCTGTGACAGGTCTTCCGGGACCCGCACTGTGTGGGGAACGGTGCAGGGAGGGGCGAACCCTCCACTGTGTTGCAGGGAGGGGGTGGAAGCCCCGCATAGCCGGCTTGCAAGCAGCGGCGGCGGCGAAGGGGTGAGAGGCAGGCAGCTGTTTAAGGCGGGGAGGTTGGCAGGGAACGCTGCATGCCTCTCGCCCCCTCTCCGCCGCTGCCAAGCCAGCGGCTGAGTTTCCCCACTTGCAAGCTGGCTGCGCGGGGCTTCTACTGGGTCCCCACAACACAGCAGAGATTTCGCCCCTTGCTGCGCCATTCCTCGCCGACACACCTTACTCCTCCTCCCTCCACCCGCTTGCCTTAAACAGCTGCCTGCCCCCTCTCCACCGCCGCTTCTGGACAGCTCCAATTGTCTGGCAGGCCAGAGCACTTCCGGGTTCCAGTTGGTGCCGGACTATCAGGAGTGCTGGACCACTGGATGCCAGACAATTGGAGTTTTACTGTATTTTGTTTCTGAAAAGTTAAATTTAAAGTTAAAAATGCCCCTGCTAAACTGGTTAAGGAGCATTTTAGAATGCTTTCAAGGGCAGGCAATGTTACCTGTGCAGTTAGGATTACTTAATTGCTAAATCCTACTCTGTGAGGTGCCCCAACACATACCCTACAAACACATTAATTTATCCTGAAACATTAAATCTTCAAATTAAGTTCCATGCATGACAGATGTCTTTTTTCTGATATATCCACTTTGACCTCTGTTGATAAGATCTCTTTCAAACTTACATGCTACAGTTTTTAAAATATAGCAATTATAAAAGATAAAATTATTAACATGCTATTTTTCACCTGAATGTTATCACTTCCTGAAAAATTCAGCATTAAGGCTCAAATGACAAATACTTAGTATTGTCCAGATGTAATTTTTCTGAGGGTGGAAGGGTTGAGGAAAGCAAAAGCATGAGATTTGTGAAAATTTTGTTCAGTTGTTTTGGAGTTACACAAAAGTGCTTCTCCTCATGGAGATAAATAATAAAAGTTACATTCAGAAAGTTCAAACATTGTACCAGGTACAAGCAAACTTGCAGTGGGCTCTGTGCAGGCATGAATCATAGAACACAGAACCATAGAGCTGGAAGAGACCTCAGAAGGTCATCAAGTCCAGCCCACTGTTCTAGGCAGGACCAATCCCAACTAAATCACCCCAGCCAGGGCTTTGTCAAGCCGAGATTTAAACACCTCTAGGGATGGAGACTCCACTACTTCCCTAGGTAACCCATTCCAGTGCTTCACCGCTCTCCTAGTGAAATAGTTTTTCCTAATATACAACCTGGACCTCCCCACCTCAACTTGAGACCATTGCTCCTTGTTCTGCCATCTGTCACTACTGAGAACAGCCTTTCTCCATCCTCTTTGGACCCTCCCTTCAGGAAGTTGAAGGCTGCTATCAAATCCCCCCTCCCTCTTCGCTTCTGCAGACTAAACAGCCCCAACTCCCTCAGCCTCTCATAGGTCATATGCTCCAACCCCCTAATCATTTTGGTGCCCTCCACTGGACCCTCTCCAATGCGTCCACATCCTTTTTGTAGTGGGGGGTCCAGAACTGGACACAATACTCCAGATGTGGCCTCACCAGAGCCACATGAAGGGAATGCTCCACCTGCACCCATTACATTGCAGAATGAGGGACGGAGCAAGGAAAGTGTCCTGAATTAAGTATGTTTACTAGATTTGAAAAACATTACATTCCTTCCTTATTCTTGGGATGTGAAATCGACACAGTCAGTATCCACAGAAAAAAATCAAATTACAGGCGAATCACTTTATTTTCAAGCACACGAAGCAATGAATGTATTTAAAAAAAATCTTTTGAGTCCTTGCCCACTGAAATTAATCTAATTAATTTGTAGTGTAGCTGCTGGATCAAGCTCTGTTGGAAAAGTAGACACCAACAGGGTTTGATCCTGCATAACTAAAATCAATACGAACTGAAGGATCAGAATGGACATATGTGTACCTAAGTAAGAGGCAATTTTGCCACCCTTTTCAGTCGGACTAGTCACAGAATAAGATACATCTCAATGTAAAAGCGACGAGGAGTCCTGTGGCACCTTATAGACTAACTGAAGTGTAGGAGCATAAGCTTTCGTAGGCAAAGACCCACTTCGTCACATGCATCTGATGAAGTGGGTCTTTGCCCAAGAAAGCTTATGCTCCTACACTTCAGTTAGTCTATAAGGTGCCACAGGACTCCTCGTCGCTTTTACATTGAGATGTATCTTATTCTGTGACTAGTCCGACTGAAAAGGGTGGCAAAATTGCCTCTTACTTAGGTACACATATGTCCATTCTGATCCTTCAGTTCGTATTGATTTTAGTTATGCAGGATCAAACCCTGTTGGTGTCTACTTTTCCAACAGAGCTTGATCCAGCAGCTACACTACAAATTAATTAGATTAATTTCAGTGGGCAAGGACTCAAAAGATTTTTTTTAAATACATTCATTGCTTCGTGTGCTTGAAAATAAAGTGATTCGCCTGTAATTTGATTTTTTTCTGTGGATACTGACTGTGTCGATTTCACATCCCAAGAATAAGGAAGGAATGTAATGTTTTTCAAATCTAGTAAACATACTTAATTCAGGACACTTTCCTTGCTCCGTCCCTCATTCTGCAATGTAATGGGTGCAGGTGGAGCATTCCCTTCATGTGGCTCTGGTGAGGCCACATCTGGAGTATTGTGTCCAGTTCTGGACCCCCCACTACAAAAAGGATGTGGACGCATTGGAGAGGGTCCAGTGGAGGGCACCAAAATGATTAGGGGGTTGGAGCATATGACCTATGAGAGGCTGAGGGAGTTGGGTCTGTTTAGTCTGCAGAAGCGAAGAGTACTCAATGTAAGTGGGGAAGACTGCGTGGAAAAAGCGTGGAATTGCCTGAGAGAGATTTTTCTGAACAGACCCATGTAGTGCGCTCATGTTTCTCCCTCCCCCCACTGAAGGAAGCACAGAGATCCCCGAGCAGAGCCACCAGGGTCTCGCCACAAAACAAACAGCGAAGTCAACAGCAGCTCGTCTCTTTCCCCTCCCTTCCTAGAGGACAAAGCCTCTCGCGGCTCTGGACGGTTCCTGTCCCCGAGTTTTCCGGACACAGGCCGCGTTGCAGTGCGGTCCCCCAAAGACCCCCCCGCCCCGCCGCTGTCTC